TTTAAATGATATTCTGAGGAATTTAGAATGCACAAAAGCTGTCAGAAATTCATGTGTGAATATCCAATTAAARATGTGCTCACCTCTCCCACAACTTCAATGATGTCACCAACTTTTAATTCCAATTCATCTTCATTTTGAGGCATATAACTGAAAGCCACCTGACATCTCCTTCTTCTGCTTCTTTCTCCTGAGGGGAATGAAGGAAACAGGGAAATGGTCAAATGGAAATAAAATTCCATGGCAAAAACACAAGCTGGGGAAATTATTAATGACAAAATATTATTCTTTGAGCATTGTTACCAGAATCTGAGTGTTTGCAATAATTAGTCTATGTGCTTAGAGTCAAATTACAGAAAGAGCCAAATTGGGCTTCCTAAGATGGACAAATTTCACCCAAAAGATCTTGGAAAGGTTTGCTGTGATTAATACTCTAATTATTGGTGTAGGCAAATCCAGAAATGAAGGGATGGGGAAGGGATCCAAAGCTTTGTGGCTATTTTCTCATCTCTAGAAGGATATAAACCATGCTATTTCAAATAATTTATATACAGTATGCACACAAACATATACTCTACACAAATAAATGTACTTTCTCTATTGCTCTTAACTGTTAAACATGCTCCACACACACCAAAATCATGTGTGAACAATTTCCAAGCACGGTCTTAATCTGAAATTAAATTACAGAAATAGATTTTATGGTGAGTCTATTTGTTCTGCAACATTTCTTGATAATCCTGCTCTAGGGTGRAGAGCAATAAAAAGAGTTACAGATTTTTTTTTTTCTAGTCTATGAATTGAAACTAAAAAAAGAAGGTAGAAAAGAATCCACTGATTTTAGCTTTTTTTTTTCCACAGCCACTGCAATCTGGCATGAGTGATAGCTTTTTGATTGTTTAAATTATTACCTTAATCAATGTAGCCAAACTCACTCAAATTGGCTCTTTTTTCTGCCTACAGATGCTCATTCTKCACCATCTAAACTGAAATGGTCCTAAACTTTCCACAGCTGCATTGCAAATAACTTAAATAAAATAAACACCTTCTATATTCAGTGCTCCTTTCATTGTGCAGGAGAGGCTGCCTATTTCCCCTAAAAATAACATTTCCACTCTGATTTCCAACATCAAGCAGCAACTGATGTGACARATGGCAATTGTCATCCTATTTAATAATAAATATTATTTATTTATAATAAATAAATAATATATTAAAATAAATATAATAAAATATTCTCCAGTCGTGTGATTCTGGAGAATATTTTTGAGAGTAAGAAATAAACACAATTCTGGATGTTAATAATATGAATCCCTCCCTTTCCCAATCCATAAATTAATTTTATTAATCTACAGAAATCCAGTGAAGGTTTGTATTCATCTCCATTAATCTCATGGTTGTCTCACTGCTCTTCCTCGCCTTCCAAATTTTTCTCTAAAGAAATACCAAAGTGAAGGGTACCAAGCTAGAAACATTGATTCTATGCACCAATTAATGTTCTCTCTAATGAAAAATAAAAAAAACATGAGCTGTGTGAAGAACTCTTCAAAACAGCCCTTTTTTTATTGGTGTGGCCAGAACAGACTTTAAAAGGTCTAAAGTTATGTCAAATGGACAAAGGAATTAATTTGTATTTAGAAGTTTGAAACAAATAAGCAAAAAAATAACTCTTTGAGGGCACAAAACTGATTTATTTGATCAGATCCTTAAAATGGTGGTGTTGCCTCTGACAGAGGAGACCACAAAGGGGTTTTTCTCCAGCTGTAAACATTCAAGAGAGAACATCATTTCCATAAATATAAATGTTCCTCTGGCCTTAGCAAGAAATCCAAAAAAAGAGGCAACAACAACTTATTGGCATTACCTTTGAAGGGGAATCAAAATCTGAGGAAAAGCTACACAAAAAATCCCATTGGCATTTAAATGCTGCTGTCAGACCCAGGAAAAGTCACAAACTGATAACTCCTGATTAGATGAAAACCACAGCAGCAAAATAGATAGGAAGTAAACTTCAAAGWATTTCAAAGTTAACTGGAATTTTCAAATCCAAACTACTTTTTTTTTTTAAACATAAAGGCTCTGTCATGAAACAGATGTTTATGTAAATGTGTTCATGTGTGAGTGGGTTCTATGGTTTCTGTAGAGCCTATTTTCTATTTTGTTTTTTTTGCTGGCAATGCCTTTGGAGCCAGCCCTGTCACTCTATTAGGAGAAAAATGACAAACTAAAGAAATTTCCTGTCTTCTATTTCAGATTTTCCTGCCCATGGCATCATCTGCCCATCAGTCTCAGTTTGATTTGATCCTCCCAGTTTTCAAAGCTGTGTCTGGAACTGGGAGGAACTGGTCCAGTGCAGTGTCTGCTGTGATGATTCAGCCAAAACCCAGCTCTAAATTCAATGTGGAAAAAGACAAAAAGCAAGCATTGCAGAACTAAAAGATGATTTACACACATTTAGGGTGCACGTCAGTGATTTTAATGGTAGATGTGCTTTGGACAGCCAACCTAGATGGTTATTGTATCACCTTTCTGTTTTTATAAATCATTGGGTTTTGTCTTGTTTGAGACAATTTTAAGGGGAGCACTCTAAAGTGAGTTTTCTGCCCTTTGTTTTAAACAATCTCTTCACAATAGGGAAAAACAAATATGAGTTATCCATGACAATTGTGTCTATCAAAATGCTAAGAAAAAAGACAGAAGGGCAAACTTCCTGCAGAGAAAAATTCCTAAAACCACTGCCCTCAGTAGATGCTTTTGAGAAAGCTACCTAATAAAAAGCAAATAGCATAAAAAATATTAACTTTTTTAATTGCTTTAATTACATTGAAGATAGTTTTATAAGACTTCAGATAAAGTCTTAGTCATACTCATTTCTAATGTGGATTCTTCCATAATACAAGGACTCCATCCTCTTATACCCACCCACTGGAAAAAAATACGGTTCAGATTTTAGAAGGCACCAAAACTTTCAAGTTCCAATTTCCTTCTTTTCCTGGAGGGCTTTGGCAGTGTAATTCTGGGATCTGACACGACAATTCCAACTCTCCCATCATCCACGTGCTGTTAAAAGGTAAATTTGTTTTGGATGGATGACAAGAAAAATCTGCTGAGGTTTCTTCCCCATTTAGCAGAAAATAGAATTAACCTGGGTGGAAACAGAATTAACCTGGGTGGGAATATTGGGGAGGAAATATATATTGGTGGGGAAATATATATTGGGGTGAGTGTGTGTTTGTGGGAGGGGGGTGTTTAGGTTGGGTTTTTTTGGTCTGGTTTGAATTTGTGACATCAATAAACCAGAGAAGAGCAACATAAAGTGAAGGAGRTGAGGGGAGATGGAATTTCTGAGCACTCTCAAATGGGTTATGGAAAGCTGCTGTTTTTCTACATGTGGATGAACTGGGAATTGCCTGCTTTGACATGTGCAGCCAAATGGCAGAGATTCCATTAAATACAATTATTCCAATTATTCCATTAAATACAATTATTCCAATGCAATGAGGCATCGCTGCTACAACAAATTTCTGAGTGTGGTACCCACGAGTGTTTGCTCTTGCTACACTCCACAGCAACATTTCCAAACTTCAGCCAAATGGCTGCTGCTCAGAATTTTGTGGCCAAGATTTATCTGTGAGGAACCTGAAAACATGGAAGACACCACTGTCAGAATAACAGCGAGCCTCATTGTTCCATTAATTTATTCTTTTGTTAAAAACCACGCAGCAGTAGTCAGGCCTTTTATTGGGCAGAAGTCTTTTGCATAACAGCAGTAATTAATTGAAGCAACTTCCAGCAATAACATAGCAGCAAAGTGGTCAAAAGCTTTGAGGAGAAAATCATAAATTAAGTAAGAAGTGAATTCCATATGGCCCAGCTGGAGCCAGGCTTGTGCGTGTGACACAGAACTGCAATATTAGTGAGGCTGAGATCATCACTTAAGCCTAACCCAAAGCAGAAGGAAACATTAGATAAATAACTGTAAATAAACTCAAAAGACAATTCCACAGTTTAACCMTWCCCTGMCRAATTTTTTTTCTTTCTTMATCTGAAAGTTTTTCAATGCAYGTAAATGGAGTAGAAACTTCATCAAGAATGCATTTAAATCAKCAGCAGCAAATTAGACAAAGCAGCTCCAAACTCTAATGGGAACCCTGGGACTTGGCAGATGGGCTACATACTTTGTAATCTATCTTTCAGAAAGAAAGTGGAAAATTCACTATTAAATTACATATTTAACACTATTAAACTACATATTAAACTACATATTAAACTACATATTAAATGACATATTTCGACCACATGCAGAACTGAAAAGGAGTTCATTAAATCTACTAGTTCTAGTGCCTGGATCTATTAAACTTCATCATGTAAGTTTTTATTTTGGATGAGCATTAGAGTGAAACACTCCATCACAAGATATAAATTGGAGCTTGGGGACAGGGTTTCAAACAGGCTTTTTAAACTGTACTTTAGGAGCAGGAACTCAGTAAATACAGGAAAAGCATGCTCAGCTTCCCACCTTTTTCCAGAAATGCAAAAATATTTCTCAGCAGCAAAGGGGTTTTTAGACAGCAGCCACCAGCTTTTCCCAAATCACCCATACCTGTAGCAACTAAAGCTTTTCTAAAGAACAAGAAAGTATATACAAACTTGAAATATTCTTTCTTGGATTAGAGATCAAGTTTAAAAACTCAAGAACAGCAACACGACAAGATTTTTCAAATGGTCCAAACGGGCCTTTTCTCTTTCCATTCTCATTGCAYACATCTCATGTTATTATGGGATAATTCTAAAAATATTATCCCCTTAGCTAAGTTTTCAGATAGTGGCCAACTACTTGGGACTTTGCTGCTTTTTTGTATTCCACTCTAGAGAAAACATTTGAATAAACCAAAACCAAACATGAGCTGCATCTTTTCCCCTTCYCTTATGTCCCATCCCATAATTCACACAGCTTAAATGGCCAATGCACAACAGCACTTCAACATAGAGTAAATGAAAGCAAATAGCTGTAAATTGAAAAACCACTGAGAATATTTAGTTTTTGTTATGTTCTCCTCTCCAAAAATAAAGGCACTTAGATTAAACCACACGGATTCCTACACGGTTATCTCTGAAAGTATTCACTTAATATTACCAGTCTTAAAACTGACTTCTGGCCAATTTAACTAAAGAACAAAATTCACAAACAGCTTTAAAAAGTAGAACTTTTTCTTAAAGACTGCTAACAGCTCTGCTACTTTAATTTTAGATACCAGAATATCCATGCTTTTTTGATGGGTTTTCAATCTCTGTAATGACACTGCACTTCAGGTTTTACTCTGACCTCTATTAGATCAAACAAGGATGAAAAATTGTCACCACCATKGTCAACATTTTCTTTTCACTCCAACAGGTGACAACATCCATTCAACAAATGCCTCAAGAAATGCTGAAAAGATGCAAAAAATACTGCAAAAAAAGCAGTTTTCTGCTTGCTGCACTCATGAGAGCTATTACACAATGAACACATGCAATAAATCAATGACACTGAACAAAAACCAAAACTTTTTCATACTTGGCACTCAAGACATCGGTCAAATTCTTAATCTAGAATCTTGTTTTAATCTAGAATCTTCTTTTAATCTAGAATCTTTAATCTTTTAATCTTGTTTTCCTCTGGAATATCTGTACAATCTGTTCGTTTTGCCATTAAAGGAAACAAAATTAAACAAAAATTATTAACACATCCCCGAGCAGTGCATTTTCCAGTTCAGCAGTGCTCCTAAAGCCTAAGAAACCACATAAAATGTGCTTTGAAATACAAGCCCAGACAAATCCTAAATTTTGGGAGCTAACAACAGGAATCCAGGAGATAATGGGAAATGCACCATTAGCTCTATGATGGCTGAGCAGAAAGATATCTCAGTACTGAAAGTGAAAATTAACATTTTTTGTCTCACAATTTCAAAAAATTAACATTAGCATGGAATCCACACAGGAAAGTTCCCTCCACAAGTGGAGGATAAATATTCTGTATCAGGAGGATATCAGATTATCCTCCAATATTGAGCAACAAATGGGGAAAAAAAAAATTAAAAAAAAACCTAAAAGGCTGTTTTGGCAAATCTCCAGCCTACAAATACATGTATATATATACAAGGGGACAAAAAGTCACCCCAGGAAAGGTTGGAAATATCAATTTGCAATACCTGCATCTTGCCAGCTCTGCAGCATCTTTAGTTTTTTGAGAAACTCTGAATGCCACAGCAATTTTCCCATGTATTTTTAGTTGTTCTCATCAGTTAAACAAGTCTCTRTGGCATTTATAAGCATTCATTTTTACTACACTAATGAAATATTAAGAGTGATGGCTCATGGTAAGAAGGCTGCCAGCAATTTAGTTTTTTAATATA